TTCATGTACCTTCCACAGTGTACACAAGAAAGGTGCAACCTGAGGGGACACGCATCATATGGCCCTACTGCGTTCACTGTCCCAGCACTTAATGAATTGTCTCACTCGATGGTCAGGCATTGCTGCTCTGCAGGTGGCCCCCTCCCACTCTCCTTGAGGGATAAGGGCTGCAAAGACGAAGTAAGTGACCCTTCAATGCCATCTCTAGTTTTAAAAATTCACTGCATCTATATTTATAATGATGCAGACAGTAAAGGAGGATGCTTTGAGTAAAAAGGTAATAAAGGTTGATGCTACTTAAAATAGTCAAGGTATTGGTTGAAAGCCAACTCTGGGCTCGCATCAGAAGGCAGGAGATGAATGCTATGACCAAAGACTGAAGTTCTCTGTAGAGTCCGCAGCACTCAATAGTGCTCTATTTTCCTGAGGAGATATAAGACAGCCACTACATAATCATCACATAATAATCCATGATTTATTATTATTATTTTTTTGAGACAAAGTCTTGTTCTGTTGCCCAGGCGGGAGTACAGTGGCATGATCACAGCTCATTGTAGCTTCGACCTCTTGGGCTCAAGCAATCCTCCCTCCTCAGCCTCCCCCGATAGCTGGAATCACACAGGCACGTGTCACCATACTTGACTAATCAAAAAAAATTTTTTGTGTGTAGAGATGGGGTCTCCGTATGTTGCCCAGGTTGGTCTCGAATTTCTGAGCTCAAGTGCTCCTCCCACTTTGGCCTACCAAAATGCTGGGATTATAGACATGAGCCACTGTGCCTGGCCTACTCATGTTCATTGATATGGGAAAGTAAATAAAGGTCTCAAAGTAGAGGAAGAAAAAAGAAGGAAGAAGAAGGAGGAAGGAAGAAAAAGAAGGAGAAAGAGAAGAAGGAAAGAAAGAAGAGAGAGAAAAAAGGAGAAGGAGGAGGGGGGAAAGAAAAAGGAAGGAAGGAGGGAAGGAAGGAAGGAAGGAAGGGAGAAGGAAGGAAGGAAGGAAGGAAGGAAGGAAGGAAGGAAGGAAGGAAGGAAGGAAGGAAATGACTGTGGCACCTCAGAATCTGTAATAGCAAGGAAAAGGGACTGTGTACACAGGTGGACATGTGCTCCTGACTTTTGGTACTGCAAGTTTCAGAACCTTTCCATGAGATATCAGACTACTACTAAAAACCTGGAGGGGTTATTCAGGAAACAAGGTTTGCCTAGTGATAGAAATTATCTGTAGACAATCATGGATGATCATTTTTTCTGAAAAAGAAAAATGGCATTACCTAAGGAAATACAAATGTGCTTATATGAAATGGGAGCTCTCTGGAAAGCTTAAATGTAAGCTTTACGAGAAAGATGAATAAAAATAAAACCATGAATGAACCTAAAAATGTACCTATGAAAGGTATAGTTAACAGAAGCTCAAAATGCCAGAGGCAATAAAATAAAGTACTACTGGCTATATTCTAAGCAAGAAGAAAATGAAGGGGACAGAGTAACAGTTTGAGGGAAGGGAGTGTAATGTTCACAGATGAACAGTGAAAAAGGAGCCCAACTCAAGATGGAACTTGGCTTGCGTCTCATAATAAAGAAAGGATGTTGGGCTGGGCGCAGTGGTTCAAGCCTGTAATCCCAGCACTTTGGGAGGCTGAGGCAGGTAGATCACTTAAGCCCAGGAATTTGAGCCCAGCCTGGGCAATATGGTAAAACCTTATTTCTACCAAAAATACAAAAAAATTAGCCAGGCATGGTGGTATGCACCTGTGATCCCAGCTACTGGGGAGGCTAAGGTGGGAAAATCACTTGAGCCCAGGAGGTTGAAGCTGCACTCCAGCCTGGGTGACAGGGTGAGACCCGGTCTCAAAATGAGAAGAAAATGGAAGAAAATGGGAGGGGAGGGTAAGAGAGGGGAGGGGAAGAGATCTCCATACTGGTCAGAGCAAACAAAGAAGATGGAGCTGGTCCCTGACGGGAAAAAGGGAGAGTAGGGACTTTGCCACTTTGACTGACTTCCAATATTCCCCTCAGATGACTCTCATCCCAGGGCACTGAAGAAACTGTTGGGTCCTTTCCCAGTGTCACATGGAAGCAGCATTCTTGTCCCACCATACACATACACAGTGTACATACTGCTTTCTTGAACAATATCTCTTCTGGGCTTCTCACCAATCTCATGGGCTATTACTATTACCTTCACCGTACACTGAAGCTCAGAATTTAAGTGACCTGCCCAAGGTCCATATAACCCCAGGGAGAACAAGACCAGATCTAGACCCAGGCCATCTGACTCAGGACCAGTGCTTTTTTCACTAACCACTGAACCTTTCTGCTACTTATTCAACAGATCAACTTTTAAAACTCAAGCTATAAAATATTAACAAAAATCAATATTAAGTACATTTGTAGTAAGATGAATACTTGCTGGTTAAATACTTGTCGACCTGCCATAAGGATCTGGCTTTTCAGAAGTAAAATTTCATTTAATCTCCAGACCATCCCCAGGAAGGAGTTACAGATGAGGACCTGAGGCTTCTGGCCTTAAGTAACTTGCTTGGACTTGACAGTGACTGACTGAAGCAGCAAAGGTTTAAATGTATTGGAATCTGTTCTTGCTCCAAATTCCCTATTCTTTCCACTACAACTGGCTGCTACCTTAAAGTGTTCACCAAAGGCTACTCTGAGATATAGACAGTATATGGTTAACCCAATTATAGCAATCAGAAAAGTCAATGGTTTTCCTGAGCCCTGAGAAGTCTGATGTTCCAAACACATTTTCATAGCATGTTCTACAGTCATGCTAACAAAAGCAAAGCCATTTCTCTCCTTTTTAGCCTAGTTCTAATCTTGTGGGAAGAAATACTGAGGGCCTGAGCCTTGCAGTAGTTGTGGGAATAGCGGTAGGCAACCAAACAAATAAATAAATATCTGATTTTATTCTGATTCTTACAGGGGCTCAATGCCTACTATAAATCCCTGGGGCAAGCATATCTCCCTCTACTAAGGAATAGGACAGGAGGTCAGTAGGATGGAGGCAAAGGGAAGGCAGAGACATGGGGAAATGGAGACCTCCTCTAGACTTTATTATTTCCAGGATCTACTTCCTGTACAGTCACTAGTTCTGGCTTTAGAGGAGAACAAAGAAAGCTACTTCCATATAAATAAGAAGCCAAGGCTCTTCAGATTAAATTCATTGCCTAGGTTCACCAGTGATAGTCGCGATAGAGGTCTCAATGTAATGGAATCTGGTACACGACTCCCAAATGTACAGGCACAAGCACGTCTACCAGCAACAGCAGCAGAAGTTAAAAGAACCCTCAAGTAGCACCACGTGTTAATTCAACAAAGGTTTATCAAGCATCAATGACTAAATCGAGCAACGGGTAAATACTGGGGATCAGACAGAGAATGAGATAGCACCACGCCCATCTTTGTGGAGCTTACAGTTGTGTGGGGGATTACAGTTACAAAAGGGCATGCTCAGATTGCTATGGATACTTAAAAACCAGGAATGGAGTTGAATCTTTATTATGCCTTTGTATCTCCATGAATTTAAAGTGTTTCAAAATTCTAAATTATTTTATTCATTTTAATTAAAAACCAAACCACTACCACTTACTCTCAGGAAGCTCGGTGAAGTAGCAAATAGAATATTTATTCTAAGTCCTGGCTCTTGTACTTTTTGATCAGATACATGTCTTAACAAAACTATAATCCTGAACATGAAAAATCCATCACCAGTTAAAATTTTTACCTAAGAAACTTGCCTGCTACACAAAATGAGTCAAAGTTGACTGTAAAGGATATCATGTGAAACTTCATATGGAACAGATTTACTACTTTATTAATTCTCATCCAGTGTGTGCCCCAAGAACATTCTTTACTAGAAGAATTAATAGTCACTGCACCGTTGCACAGGCAGGTGTTCAAGACTTGGTGCTATTCTCCTACATGCTCTTTTCATTTATTAATACAGGGTCCAGATTGGCTCTTACTGCCTTCCATACCCCTAAGCTTCCCGACAGTGGCAAAGCTGGGATTCAAGGAATTTAAACTCATGCCAATCTACAAAACCAATTAAGTACACCAACTGCCTAAAACTCTACTTCATGCCCCCTCTTTACATCAGAGGTAGCACTCTTAATGTCTCTAAAGGGCAGGCAGGTAACACCGATGAACAACATGGCTGGTAATGCATACGCATCTATGGTGTAAGCAGGAGAAACAGTGAGCTGAAGGGGAGACTGAAGGGAAAAGCAGCTATTTGATTCCAATGATTGCCACAATGTATGATCTTGCAGTTTTCTTTTCTTTTTTTTTTTTTTTTTTTTTAGACGGAGACTAGCTCTGTCGCCCAGGCTGGAGTGCAGTGGCGCGATCTCGGCTCACTGCAAGCTCTGCCTCCCGGGTTCATGCCATTCTCCTGCCTCAGCCTCCCGAGTAGCTGGGACTACAGGCGCCCACCACCACGCCCAGCTAATTTTTTTTTGTATTTTTAGTAGAGACAGGGTTTCACCCTGTTAGCCAGGATGATCTCAATCTCCTGACCTCGTGATCCACCCGCCTCAGCCTCCCAAAGTGCTGGGGCCATCTGACAATTTTCAGACCAGAAGTTCAACATCTCATATATACTCCTGAATGTTTAAATGTTAATCTAAGTTTCTTTTGTTGTTTGTTTTAAGAGCACTATGTAGGTCAAGCAGGTCACCAGCTCTCCACCTCTGCTAACGCACTGTCAGTGTCATCTTCTGAACAGCACTAGTTTGGTATGCTAAATTTTGCAAGATTATTTTCATAAGTGTAACATCACTCTGGGGATGGGTGAGGCAGAAGATTCCTTAATGCCTTAAACATCAGTGGTGCTCTCTTCTTCAGGCAGCCTAGATGGACTCATGGACTAATGCCATGCAAGGTAGAGCTGCTCACTTACGATCATAAGATGCCTTTCTTCCCAGGAAACCACAGAACAAACTTCTTTTCTCTCCCATAGCAGTTCCACCCTAAGTAGGTGCTTACCCGTTTGTCAATGTCATTGTGCTGAAGCTGCACAAAACGAGCACTGATGGCTGCGATGTAACTCTGCTGATTGGAGAATGCCACGCGGCCAGCACCTTTGGGGTACTTCAGCTCTGGGTCCGTATCAATGCCAGCATAGCAGACACCACCGTACAAACGGTCCATGATCATTGCCAGTTCAACTGCAAAAAACAAAACAAAACATGGATGTGTATAAATATTTGGGAGGTACTCCTGCCCAGGAGAAGGAAGAATTATTTAGAGATCATGCAATGTAATTAAGAAAAGGAAAACGCATGTTAAGTATCAAGAAGACTGTCCACACCAGTCTTACAACTCAAGTAGGGAAGGTCCTAATAGGGTGTTTTGCAATAAAATGGAAAAAAAAATTAGGAATTTACACACATACACACAAGAATTTATATAATCAGAACTTTAGCAGTAGTATTGAAGAAATGAACTACCAGTAATCCTCCTGTTCTAATTTCTAACTGGTTAGTCCAGTGGAATGTGCCTTGGGTAGGCAAGGCATTTCATGCTGCCCTGACAAGTTAATAAGAAACAGTCCTACTTACTAACCTCTAAGACTAAAAGAAATTACTAGTGTTACACTACTATATTAGGACTAAGCTATAGAAAGGATTAACTGCTTGTTTTAACTAGAGACAATTTATTTACAGTCTTAAAGTAAATCTCCACAATTTAAAAAAGTAAAGATTTTAGAGTATATTCTAATCCAACTGTGAACTCTTCATACTAACCTCTCCCATTGAATTCTAAATAATAATACTAGTAATGATAATAGCCACAATAAACATTTACTGAGCACTTACAACCTACCACAGAGCACTAAGGTGCTACACAAATAGTAAAAACATACCCATGCTGTACCTTGCTATAGATCCAGAGGTGTGGCCTGTACTCCTTGTCACATTTCTTCTAAATATGCCTTTGTTTGTTTGTTTACTGAGACAGAGTCTCGCTCTGTCACCCAGGCTGGAGTGCAGTGGTGTGATCTTGGCTCACTACAACCTCCCCAGTTCAAGTGATTCTCCTGCCTCAGCCTCCCGAGTAGCTGGGATTACAGGCATGCGCCACCACACTTGGCTAATTTTTGTAATTTTAGTAGAGATGGGGTTTCACCATGTTGGCCAGGCTGGTCTTGAACTCCTGACCTCAAGTGATCCACCAGTCTTGGCCTCCCAAAGTGGTGGGATTATAGGCGTGAGTCACCATGCCTGGCCTAAATATGCCTTTATATTGGTATAGTTACAAAACAATAAAGGTACCATTAGAAAAACATGTAGCACTTACCTGCATACCAGATTGTCTGAAGGCAATTGTTTACTTGATAGTGGACAGCACCTTCTCCAGGTATGACCATTCCTTTTAGGCTACTCACATAGTATAAATCCAAAAGACTCAGCACTACCCCTGGGAAGTGACCCAAGAACCTGTTTCAACACCTATATATGGTATTTGGAAAGGAGAAGACAGGGAAGACAGACAATGACCTGGGCCACAGCCAATGTGCAAAGATCATCACATAGTAGAGCTCCACAGCAATCAGTATCTGGGGAGATGGAGAGCAGCACAACTCTTCCTTCTAGGAGAAGAGTTCTGCAGAATGTTCAAAGGGTGAAGGGCTGAACAGTAGAAGAACTCCACTAGATGTCTATGAACAAAAGGAAAGCCAAGCATTACTGGTTTCTGTACTACGAAACTGCTGAGGCAGTAAGTAAAACTGTGTTGCTACGTCAGAGAGGCTATCTTTACACTTCTCCAAAAGTTCTTTACATACCAGATTGCCTATTGGTGACTATTTTCTAACTGCCTATTTTTAATAGGAAGGACAACCCATAACCAACAAGTAATTTTCAGAAGGTGAGAAAATAAGCTAGTAAGAACTAAGCCTAAGAGTAAGCGCCATTAAAGACAGAGCAGCAGAAAGTTATCTCAATTATACCACTATGGTCAGAATTACTAAGCCATATCAGCCAAGGGAGCGTTGTCTGTTAAAGCCTTACTGCAGTCTTGGGGCAGGATCCAGGAATCACATTCATTCAAACAATGTAACAGGAATTGTGCGAATACCCTGAATATCAGAGGTCCTTATACTTCATCCCAACAACCTCTGATGGTTTGAGGATCTCCTCATATGGCTATTACTGCAGTAACAGAGACCAAGAAACTGAAGGCAGAATTAATTGTTAATTGCAGTCATTAATGCATTTCCCTTATTGGTTGAATGGGTTTAGTGAAATAAGTAACCTCAAGACCCTATAACTTAAATACTAATTTTCAAAAGACAAGGCTTCCTCTGTAGTGAAATAAGAGAAGTAACAATCTCCAAGCCTGGTGAATGGCCAGGAAAAGAATGCTGGCAAGGAATTGAATGGCACTTGTCTTCCACCATAGGAAGGACTCAACAAAGTGTCTGATTTAGAAAGAAGGCACATGAGTGGTAAGCTTGAAACTCCAGCTAAGCAGAAGAGTTACTGTAACCACAGATTTTTCTACACCACAGTGTTCTCCAAAAAATCTTCAGGATCTTCTGATGCCAGAGAAGCACAAACATTCCATTACTTTGTGAATCTATCTGTTTGAAATCATCTGCACGTTCCAAGGATTAGATCATGACTGATGTTGCTGGCAGTTAAGTACTTTTGATAGGAAGCAGAAACCCTCATCTGCTTATGGTCTTATGAAAACTAATTATAAATAAATAATTTCCATTTATGAACTTATATATAGTTGCTTTTTTGGCCACCAAAAAGTCTGCAGACATTTGAGTCAATTAGGTCTCACTTAAGTGAAGGGCAATTTGTTGAGAAGCTAGACGAAACCAAGGTGACTTAAGAAGAGGTTTTTGGGAGAAGAATATGAAAATTTCCCATCTCTCTCTCTACCCTCATCTGTATTTTAACTACAGAAAGTCTAATACTATGACTACCCTTGAAGAGAAGTAAACAGTAGTCAAACAGCTGCTGTTTGTACTTGGTCTTCTGCTCAACCAGTAAGTCTTCATTCAGCATACTTCCTGCAGGCTGAACTCATTAAAGTACTAAACAGAATTTCTAGTCCTCATTTGAAACCATCCTCTGCAGAGGGCAAAGACAAAGTAGCTCCCAGGAGCATGTTCTTAACATTTCACCTGAGGAAGATAAGGGTACCAGAGCAGGGCATAGAGGTGAAGGAATCCAGCGTTCACATAGAGGTGAAAACAGGTATACAGTCCACGACGAAGTCAAGACTTTCCAAACCATTTTTTATTTTCTTTCCCATCCAGACAGTGCTCATGGGTCTGTCTGGTCATGGTGGGAAGATGGCAGGTCTAATAGCTATGGTTCAAGGGTATACCGTACTTTGGAAAAGATGCTCTGTGATCCTAAGACAACTTAAATTGTCTCATGAACAACTTCCATGGTAGCAGCAACACAATGAGTCTAATCCACATGCTGGCTCTTGTGATGAGAGTCACTGTGCTGCAGACTGGAGGAGCAAACTAGAATACTGCAGCAATGTGGAGCACATAGCATCCCCATGAATTCCTTTGGATTGTGATGACTATATCTCTGGAGTTGAATGTAAGCTTCAATTATGGTTCCTTGGATTTGCTCCTGATCCTTTTTTTTTTTTTTTTTTTTTTGAGATGGAATCTTGCTCTGTTGCCCAGGCTGGAGTGCAGTGACACAATCTCGGCTCACTGCAACCTCCACCTCCTGGGTTCAAGTGATTCTCCTGCCTCAGCCTCCCAAGTAGCTGGGATTATAGGTGTGCAGTCACCATGCCTGACTAATTTTTATATTTTTAGTAGAGATGGGGTTTTGCCATATTGGCCAGGCTGGTCTTGAACTCCTGACATCAGGTAATCCGTCTGCCTTGGCCTCCCAAAGTGCTGGGATTACAGGCGTGAGCCACCGCTCTTGGCCTGCTCCTGATTCTTTACAAAGATGTGAAAGGGTCTTTAGTTCACCAGAGAGGAAACCCATGATGACTCCTCCCAGTCCTGCTTCACCTCACGGCCCTATTTATATCATTTAATTATAATATATTTCAAAGTCAGCTAAGGCAACATGTGAGCCTGAGATACTGGACAGCCAAATGAGATAGAGTGGAAATGAGGATTCCAGAGGAAAATAACACATTCGTCTTTACAGATTCTAAACTGTGAATCTAGAATCCGTATTTCTTCTCTTTGGAAATAAGGACAAAACAGATAGGCAAGAGGCATAGGGCACCTTAAGATATCAAAGAGGTCTCGACTTCTGAAAGCAGGAAGATTAAACTTGATGAGGGCTTCCTAGGTTTACCACAATTGTCAAGGGCAATTCACATACTTCAAGGGGAAGAAATGTGCTCATAAGCTTCTGCTCTGCATCAGATATGTCGGGAAGTTAAGAATATTTTCAAATAGATGGTATGAACAATGAACTAAATCAGACAGAGTGCACTGGTACCAAGTTGACTGTTACTACTGTTACTGAGACAACACCTCAGATCTCAGCTTAATAAAGCATCTTTCTTTTGACCTGAGAAAGACCAATTACTCTATCTGAACTCTGCTTCATCATCTCTAAAGCACAGTCTACCACTTATAATCTCGCAGGGTTACTGTGAGAATTAAACATCCATGAGAGCTCTGGGCACACTGCTAAGGACAGAGTAGTATTCAAATGTTTAGTTTTGTCCAGGGTTCTTGCCCCACTCCCACCCTGTGAATCTCTGCTTAACATTTAAGTTGGCCTGGTTTCTGCTCTGTAAGTATCAATTCATCGCAGTGCTATTTTGGCTGTAGGCTAACATCACACAGCCTGCCACTGATATGGCAAAGTTTGACATCAGCTATGGATGAGGGTTTGCTTTTGGTGCAGAGGGAGGACACAAACACATACTAACATTAGAAGATCCTTATCCCTAAAGGTAATACAGTTAATCAAGTCAGTATGCCAAATCTGGAGTTTATCCAGGACAACCCATACTGAACTTAGGACATGGTGAAAAAGCTTCTACTGTTGAAAAACTTGATACAAGATGGTTTCTGCCTGCAACCACTTCATAAAACAACAATAAAGGATAGGGTTATAATACTCCTGTTTCCTAAATCACAAATCAGGATATGGTTTCTAATACATGTGAACTATGAAATGTTTATACAAAATGTCTGAAATAAATGATCTTAGAAAAATTCAGGATATATGTTCTCTAGATATATGCCATATATCTCTGAATATTTACTTCAGAAATTTTTGCCTCCCACAGAAAAACCATCCTCACAACAGTCAGGGCAGGTAAGGAAAGACAGAAATAAATTTCAGGATTCATCACAGAATATTAGTAGGGGAGAAAAAGAAAGGAAAGAATTATCAGAGCAATTGTTAGGAAAGATAGGGCTGAAAGATGAACAAGCAAACAGTAGGCTGTGGGGACTCAGATGAGCACTCTCTCGAGATCGATCTGTTTTGCAGGGCCTAAGGAAGTCATGAAGTAAAGAACAGTTCATATGCTTCTAATGAGAAAGACTGAAAGTTTTTCCAGCCTGATCAAGGTTGGGAATGAATGGATCCAAAAGCTTGGTCACTGAGGCAGTCTTCCAATCAGATGCCAAAACCAAGAAATTTGGGATCAGAGAAATACTCATGTTAATCAACTGGGGAAGAGTACAGAGACCACATACCTCACTCTCTACTTGTTCCTGGTGGTATCATAACCCCCAAGCCTGGCACTTATTTTCTGTCAGAGTGAAGAGGTATGTATTCTGGAGAGGTCCTAATGCCATAGGGATATGCAACTGGGCTATTTCTGTATGGAGATTCAGGAAGACATGTTGCTCATATTACATGAATGAAGCATAGTGGCAACATGTACTTCCAGGTGGCAGCAGGAGAAGAATCAAATTGCCCATTTCCCTGTACTGACTCTGAAGAATACGTGAGCTTTAGCCACATGGTGGCATGGTGAGTCCACTTACAGGCTTTCCTAATGTGAGGGTAGGGTGAGATGGGGAGTAGAAAGAAAAGATCTGATAAACACCAGGAGACTTCAGGCAAACCATCCTTGGCTTGCTATTGTCACCAATGGGAGTGATGATAAGGAAGAGACAGTAAGAGTGTGGATTATTTGACATAGAGAAACCCACAATCAGGCAATAAGTAAGCTCATCTAAATTTTCCACTGATATTTTCCCATTTTCAGCTTTTCTTTTGTTTTCCTTTCCAGGACTGTGATTTTTTCCAACCTATTTTTTTTTTCTTTTTTTGAGATAAGGTCTTACTGTCACCCAGGCTGGAGTGTACTGATGCAATATCAGCTCACTGCAGCCCCGAGCTCCCTGGGCTCAAGCGATTCTCCTGCCTCCGGAGACTGGGCTACAGGCGTGTGCCACCATGCCTGGCTAATTTTTGTATTTATTATAGAGACAGGGTTTCCCCATGTCGCCCAGGCTGGTCCAACCTCAGTTCTTAAAAGGAAGGTTTATCAAAGAACCAGAAACTCAGGACAATACTGCTTAAAACAGGTTGCCTTTTTATTTTAGAGGTGTTTGTGTATTTCTGTTTAAAGGGATAAGGCCGGTATTCAGAATAACTATCAGTGATATTGGTCCTTGTGTTACAATGAGGAAATATCAAAGATAAATTAAAAAAAAAAAAACCAACTCACAAGATCCAAAGGAATAACACTTCAGTGATAACATTTTAGTCACTGTGACATATTAAGGGATACTTTTTGGCCCTTAATAAGGTAAAAATCCACCTGGACATCTAAAATCTCACCTGTTGAGTAGAGATGCCCATATCTAGTCCATGATCACTCTGCATAAAATGCTTAAAATATTTTTAGACTTTCCAAAATTCCATAACTAGAACATTCCTTGGAAATAATAAAAAATGCTCTGAAGTATTTCAAAACCAAATTTGAGAATCGTGTTAAAGAATACAATCTGGTCTCCAATTAATTCTGAGTTCACATTCTGTAAGTACATTTATTTTCTTCTGACATTTTTTGACTCTGTATATGATGACCTCTTTAACATGATAGTGGGATATTCAGTTTTGCATGACACATACTTTCTTAGTGCCAGTAATACAGTAGATGCTCAATAAATGTTTATCGTTCAAGTGAACTATACTGTATTCAATTTCAGCTTGTCTAGCAAAGTCACAATGAATTCTTTAAAAATCGTCTTCTATTCCAAGGTATACATCAGTTCCCAAAGCTCAGTGTGTTTCAAAGAAACCCAATTCCTATGATTATAGATAAAAGTTGCAGATGTTAACTTTTTGTCTTGATAACATGGCCCTCTAAACTAGAAGTCTTGGGATGAATGGTAAAATTCTAAGACAATAATATAGATTACTTTGCCACCTAGAAACTAGCTACGCTTAAGGGAAGTGTTGGCATGGGGGAACACTATCAATAATACAAATGATTTTAGATTACTATCCACATAACTATAAAAACAAAACATTTTAAAACAAAACACTTTAGCGTAGTTGAAAAAAGAGAACTTCTCCCGGGCACAGTGGCTCGCACCTATAATCCCAGCACTTTGGGAGGCCGAGGCGGGCAGATCACGAGGTCAGGAGTTTGAGAGCAGCCTGGCCAACATGGTGAAACACTGTCTCTACCAAAAATACAAAACAGCCGGGCATGATGGTGAACGCCTGTAGTCCCAACTACTCCTGAGGCTGAGGCAGGAGAATCGCCCAAACCCGGGAGGTGGAGGTTGCGGTGAGCCGAGATCGTGCCACTGCACTCCAGCCAGGGTGGCAGAGTGAGACTCATCTCAAAAAAAAAAAAAAAAAAGGAACTTCAAATTATGAAAGGTATAGTATAGTATCTAGTCAGGGAACACAAAATTCCATTTCTTACTAGACAACTAAATATAATTCTTGTCTAATCCTAGAATTTGTGGCATCTTGCAGACAACAAATATTAAAGAATATAATTTCAGGTTCAGGGGTTCACTTCTTGCAGTGTTGGTGTGATCATACAGCAAGTGTAGAAAAGGGATCTTCACAGGATTTACAGAAGAAAAATGATATATAGGCCCTTACCTATCCTTCCAAATCATTAAAACATGAAGAATAAAGAGTGAATAATACAAATTGAAGTTTAAACTTCAATTTGTATAAACTTCTATGTCTGTGCCTTAAGATAGACATAAGAAGTTACAGCCAGTTCTGTTATTTTTTATAACTATAGGACTTTTTCAGAATATTTTTTCAGATTCCTATCTAGGAAAAAAAAGGAAAGGGGCTAGAACATAAAAACTCATTTGTGGCCGGACGTGGTGGCTCACGCCTGTAATCCCAGGCACTTTAGGAGGCTGAGGTGGGCGGATCACCTGAGGTCAGGAGATCGAGACCAGCCTGACCAACGTGGCAGAACCTTGTCTCTACTAGAAATACAAAAATTAGCCAGGCGTGGTGGCACACACCTGTAGTCCCAACTACTTGGGAGACTGAAGTTGGAGAAACCCTTGAACCCGGGAGGCGGAGGTTGCAGTGAGCCGAGATGGCACCACTGCACTCCAGTCTGGGCGACAGAGTGAGACTCCGTCTCAAACAAACAAACAAACAAAAAAACTAATTTGTGCTTGTAGTTAGTTGCAAAAGGAAAAGCTACAATACTAGCTATGATTGTCCATTTGTAAAATAAGAAAAAGGATTTCTGTCCCTCTCCACTCCTAAATATAACACTAGTTAGAAAAATTCAGAAATATTCCACAACACCCCCATCATTTTTTTTAAAAGCACAGTTTACAAACAAAGGTCTGCATTTGCCCCCATCTCATAATGCTTTTCACATTTGAATTAGCCCTTCTTAGACTTTCTTCTCCGACTGCAGATAAAAGGGAAGCATCTCTGCTGCTTTGCTTTCTACCTTTTGTTTGATAGTTTTCCATTGGAATGAAGAAAATAAGACCCAGTCAGAAAAAATATGTTTAAAAGTCCTTCAAAATGAAATTATTAATGTCTTTATGTAGGTTTAAAGTTATCTTTTAGGTGTAGGCTGGAGATGGGATTTCGATAAATATGTTAGAAATGTTGAGGAACTTTCAGAATTAAGAAGTCACGAAAGTCATACAGCTAAATAACGTTAGGTTACATTTTATAATTCTGTTTCACAACATGATTTTAATGATCTCTGCTTTTTGTTTTAATTTTTAGGTAGAACTAAGTCTATATGCATATAAATAACACAAAAGAAATGTACTTTCACAACTACAGTGGCAACAGTAACATTTTTTGTTTTAGTTTAAAAAAATAAACTTAATTATTCTAAGTGCTTCAAAAACTTAGATCTTAGAAATAATTTTGTTATACCTCACTGGCATTAATACTGGTTATTAGGAGGCTGATGCACAGCTGATTGGATTTGTCTTTGGATTTAAATATGTATTGAAGACATCAGTTCAACAACACTTCAAACTCTCCAGTCAATTATGATTCTGCTCAAATCAAGCAGCACAATTATTTCATCATTGGAAAGTAACTTAAAAAAAAAACAACAGGGAAGCTTTAAAAAAGACAGATTTCTGTCATACATAACAATGCTGACTGGCATAAGAATGCACACTGCCAAATGTGTTATTATTTTTTACATAAGGGATTAAATAGGAAAGCACTAAATAAAATTCATTTTTTCAACATAACTGTTTAATGAAATTCACTTTTGCACCATAACAAAATAGAGCATTTTGGGAGAAAACCTTTAATCCTGAAAAAGCTCAGTGAAAACGACGACAGCCTTCTTTTTGGAGACTATGTATAGCTCACTGGAAACCTAGAAAATATTTAAGACTAAAGGCATTGGGGATTTTGTTGTTGTTGGTTTTGTTGTTGTGGTGTTACTATTTCCACTCACCAGCTCGAAGGGGTCGTGGAACTCCCCCAACAAAGATAGTTTTTCTGGGGTCCAAAGGCTGAGAACCATCCATTACAAAGTCACTGTCACTTAGGTTCCATGGTCGAATTTGCACCTGAAAAAAAGTCGTTTACTTGGTCCTTACTTCATTTCCAGCAACCCCAAATGAGAATAAGATGACTAAAGACAAACCCACTGATTTGTGCATTTCACAATGAACATGACCCAAACAAAATCCAGTTAATTAGTTAATGTAATCCGCATTAAGTACCTTTCAATAGAACTCTTGGGGAATCTACTTACAGGTACTGTACTCAGCACTCTAAGACATATGACATATACCATGAAACCACTGGAAACCACCTCTGCCTGTGTTTTTTTTTTTTATTGTAAGGCAGGCTTTTAGAGACAGAGTCTGCATTTTGAATCAGATTCATTTTAACATACGATAGAGACTGTTTACAATGTGTCACAATACACCACTTTGTTTTAAGAGTTCATCTAAAGTACATCAGGAGTATTTCCTAAAAATTATCCATGTCTGACTTTTTAATTCTCATCACCTTCCAAAATTCAAACATATCTTTCAGCAATATGATTTAATACAGATTAACACGCAGCAAGTTAGCATAGAATTACCAGAGATAACAATATAGCACAAAGAGAGTACTCTCTGGCCAGGCACGGTGGCTCACAACTGTAATCCCAGCACCTTGGAAGGCCGAGGCAGGCGGATTCCTTAAGGTCAGGAGTTCGAGATCAGCCTGGCCAACATGGTGAAACCCTGTCTCTACTGAAAATACAAAAACTAGCTGGGTGTAGTGGCTCACATCTATAGTCCCAGCTACTCAGGAGGCTGAGGCATGAGAATCACTTGAACCCAGCAGGTAGAGGTTGCAGTGAGCCGAGATCGCGCCACTGCACTGCAGCCTGGGTGACAGAGCGAGACTGCCTCCGGAAAAAAAAAAAAAAAGAGAGAGAGAGAGAGTTATCTCTTTCGGATTTATCTGATTTTGACAAACGAGGCTGGTTAAATAAAAGCAAGCCTCAAAGTTTAAGTAAATTTTGTTTAAAGTAGAAAAAGAAATCTTTATGGCATATTTCTATTTGGTCATTTTTCTTAACTGGGACTCTGACTTAGTGCCCATAGTTTGTACTATTTTATCACAGAGTAAAAAATAAGGTATTTCATTAGAATTTTGACCTTAAAACATGAGCCTTTATGTATATGATTTTATACATGAAACCTTAAAACATGTTATCAAAGAATAGCTTAAAACAAAACAAAAACACAAAAACATCCTCCTGCATGAGAAGGCAAATTCTGCACTGCCTCAAAACCAACCAGTTAGGCAAGTAGCCAATATGCTCTGAGAAGCGGGCTGGGTGCAGAAAGGGAACCTGGTATCTGTCCTCAAGGAACATGCCATTCCCCCTCCCCTCCACCAATGACTAAGATAGAAAACAAAAAAGTTGACTTTTCATTTTCTTAGTATTAATGGAATTGTTCATTTTCCCCCTTGCTCAGACATCAACACTCAATGCAAGGAAACATATGGGATAATTTCGTATGTGGCTTGGCTTATACCCAGGAGTACTCCCACTTGAAAGGTAGCACCTGTGGCAATTATACTTTCAAAAATTTTGAATTAACTTTAAAACTGGAATTGCTCAGTTAGAAATAGTCTACATTTTTTTTTTTTGGAGATGGAGTTTCTCCTTTTTGCCCAGGCTGGAGTAAAGTGGCACCGTCTTGGCTCATGCAACCTCCAACCCCTGGGTTCAAGAGAATTCTCCTGCCTTGGCCTCCCAAGTAGCTGGGATTACAGGTGACCGTGACCACACCCAGCTAATTTTTGTATTTTTAGTAGAGACAAGGTTTCACCATGTTGGCCAGCTGGTCTCAAACTCTTGACCTCAGGGGATCTACCCGCTTCGGCCTCCCAAAGTGTTAGGATTACAGGCATGAGCCACCGTGCCTGGCCAGTCTACACATTCTTTAAGATTGCTAAAAAAATTCACCCTCACCTAACTTTTTGCCTTTATTATTATTATTTGAGACAAGAGTGTTGCCTTATTGCCCAGGCTGGAGTGCAGTGGCATGATCTCGGCTCACTGCAACCTCTGTCTCCTGGGTTCAAATGATTCTCGTGACTCAGCCTCCTGAGTAGTTGGAATTATAGGCACCTGCCACCACACCTGGGTAATTCTTATATTTTTAGCAGAGACAGGGTTTCGCCATGTTGGCCAGGGTGGTCTCAAACTCCTGACCTCAAGAGATCTGCCCACCTCGGCCTCCCAAAGGGCTGGGATAACTGGAGCGAGCCACTGAGCCCAGCCACTTTTTGCCTTTTATGACACTGTTGGCCTCACCACTTAGCCAGAAGACACAAAATCTCCATTTCTTCCCTAGACCCTGAAAATTTGGACCTGTTTACAATACCGTTCACATTCAGACATTTGCTCCACCTTTATTGCATGAAAAAAAATGCAGTTCTTTCCGTGTAAACTTTGGTCTGTTTGACTAAATTATCATTCCCTTGACATTTACTACAAAGGCAGATTCACTAATACCATAAAGCATTACTTTTAAATGCCTTCATGAGGACCTATTGCCTATTACTAATTTTTTCATTTAATACACAATAATTTCCTGACACTGTGAGAACAAACAGTAAAGATTCCCTTAAATACACACATACACACACACACACACACACACACACACACAGATGTATCTTTTTCTACACACAATCTCTCTTCTGATCTCATTCCTAATAAAGCAGTTAAGGCAGCTTAGGGACCTGGTAAGGTAATTCCAACCACTTTATGTTAACTGCATTCGATCATAGATAACTTTATTTAAAAAATGAAAACTATTCTTGTGTAGTATCCAGTGGTCTGCTTTCATGCTCAATTAACTGAGACAGGAAATACAGCCTTTTATCAATATCTGTAGGTTACCACTGCTCAAAAGAACTCTGCAAAAGATCTCAAACCTTCCTGCTGAGAGCTTTCATTATTGCCTACTGCCTTTTCTGCCCACTCCCCAACCCCCGACCTCACTTCATCACATTGCACACAACCCATTCCTTTATTCTTGGCATTGTAGATAAAGTAAAAATATAGGAAGAGGGCTCAAGACACAGTGCTGATTAACCCTATTCACAAAACCTACATTTCCCAGCTGCCACCAGAAAACAGTTGCTCAGAGCTGTCACCTCTGCAGAATTAATCAACATAGAACAATATCAACACACTCTATCTACTAAGCAAATAATAATATTGTGGTACTATCTGTATGAAAAGTTACACTCACTCTGGTTTCTCTCTGAAATCTAAGCCCATTCTCACATCAGGCCTGTTTCTCCAGACCTCAGGTTCTGATATCCGTGTTCTATCCTTCTGGACTTACTCTTTGTTTGGATATATTTTCTGGTCCTGATTTTGTGTGTGTGTGTGTGTGTATGTGCATATATATATACATATATATATGTGTCTATATATGTATATATATATTTCATTGTTATATCATACTTTATAAGCTAATTCAAATATTTTGTGGAGAGTATAAATAAAATAACCACTTTTTAATTATCTTCGTTTAATAATTATTTTTGAGAATAGATGAAATTATAATTCTGTCCTAATTCAATATAAATTTCCTCTTTCTATACAAAACTGGTCCTCCATATCTGAGGGTTCTGAGTCTGCAACGAGGGTCAGCCAATCTCAAATAGAAAACTTTTTTTTTTTTTTTTTGGAGATGGAGTCTCGTTCTGTCACCCAGGCTGGAGTGCAGTGGCACAATCTCAGCCCACTGAAAGCTCCACCTCACAGGTTCAAGCAATTCCCCTGCCTCAGCCTCCTGAGTTGCTAGGGCATGTCACCATACCCGGCTGATTTTTTTTTTTTAGTAGAGATGGGGTTTCATCATGTTGGCCAGGCTGGTCTCAAACTCTTGATCTCAGCAGGTATCTACCTGCCTCAGCCTCCCAGAGTGCTGGGATTACAGGTGTGAGCCACTATGTCCGGCCTAGAATATGTTTTAAAACAAAAATAACAGTAACAATAATACAAATTTTAAAACTACAGTAGAACGACTATTTATATAGCATTTACATTATATTAGGTATTATAAGTAATCTAGAGACAATTCAAAGTGTATGGGAGGATGCACATAGGTTACACTATTTTATGTAAGGGACTTGAGCATCTGTGGATTTTGGTATCTGAGCGGGGGTCCTAGAACCAATCTCTTATGCAAACTTAGGAACAACTGTACAGGGCTAACTCTGTGAGTGTGTGTGACAAAGAAGGTGTGTGAGTGAAACAACTCTTCCAGTATGTTGTCAAGTAGGCGCTTTAGGGGCAGTAAAAGCCTCAGCATCCTGAGGACAAGTATAAGGATGTCCCCCAGAAACAGTAAAGATTCCCTTAAATTATCCTAACATGATTCCAGCACTTCTTCCTGGAGCAGCCTGATCACATTTGCTTGTAAAGGTGACTCTAAAAAGAGTTTGCTGGCCAGGTGCAGTGGCTCATTTCTGTAATCCCGGCACTTTGGGAGACCGAGCTGGGCGGATCATTTGAAGTCAGGAGTTCGACAACAGCCTGGCCAACATGGTGAAACCCCGTCTCTACTAAAAATACAAAAATTGGCTGGGTGTGGTGGCGGGCACCGGTAATCCCAGCTACTCAGAAAGCTGAGGCAGGAGAACCACTTGAACCTGGGAGGCAGAGGTTGCAGTGAGCCAAGATTGCACCACCGCACTCCAGCCTGGGTGATTAGAGTGAGACCCTGTCTCAAAATAAAATAAAAATAAAAATATAAAAAGAGGGGCTACAGTATCCTTTGGGAAGCTCCAGCTCTTGGGCCATGCCATGTCCTTACAGTAGGGGGTCACACAAACTCAAATGGCCATAGGGTCAGACAGGTAGCACAAATGTCAAGCCACGTTTGGGTTAGTACGCAGGCAGTAACACACTGGAGTAAACTACTTCTCAGCTCCAGCAAGTAGTTACCACTTGCCTATGTATTGTCAGACTTTTCTCATTTTTCAAGAGTGGCTAGAAATTCAGATTTCTAAGTGAAACTTCAAGATTCTAAAATAG